GTTACAGGGAGTAGATTCCACATCACTCGGAAAGGTGGTTACTCTCAAGGTTATCTGTGAAGGAGGCAGCACTATTTTTTAAATCAGGAAACTGAGGCATATAGGACGTGTGGAGTTTGTCCTAGAGCCCACAGTAATTCATCTGAAGGGGAGAGCGGAGGAGGAAGTTGAAAGGCTGGTTGAACATTACATGAACAATAGACTCAGCAACAAAACGACCAGTTTGGCCTCATCTTCAGGATTTGGTCTAGAGCCAAGCCAACCGACTCAGGGAAGGCACACACAGAAACAGAACTTGGAGTTCCTAACTTCCAGCTCTGTGCTTCACTCAGTAGAAAACCAGGGGACTGTTACTAAACTGGCTTTAATCTCAACTTTTCTTATCAAGGAATGGAACAGCTTAAGGACAGCAAACTTTCATTTATAAATGAGTAACAAATTTCTGCACCTAGTAGAATATTAGCCACTTAGTAGCAACCAAAGATTTAACTACATCACTTCACAATGGAGGATGAATCACAGAAGTCTAGGATCCTCCCACATAAAGTTTTTGACAAAAGAATCACAAAAATAATCTCTAAAACTCCTTTCAGCTCCTTTGATTATTTCACGTAACTCCCCAGTGTCAGCTTTTCCTAACACCATTCTCGATCAGCGTAAACACGCCATAGGCCAAGACTCAACCTATGCATGAACCAAGGGTACTGAAGCCTCAGTGAGGAGTAAGAGGCACAAGTTCTAGATCAAGAACCTCATTCATGGTGATCTATTTTTGCAATCCCATTGTGAAAAAGTTCTGAGAACTTCTGGGGACATCGGAAGAAAATAAACTATGGTGTTGTCTCTCAGAATTTAAGAAAAAGTATTTTATTAATAGAAGAGAGCAGGCCTTCAGTTCTGAAGACTTTCAAGGTTCTTACTATTACAGCCAAAGGCTTAGGAATCATTTGATCACCTGTCGTTGATAATGAAATTCATCACAAGGCAACCACAAAGATCAAGTGCCCTGCCCAGTCAACTTCCTACTTAGGGCCCACCTAGCATGATTTTAACTAACATTTAGCAACAAAACTATTATCTGAAAATACCTGGGCCACAAATCTGTCTGGATTTAGATTTCAAGCAGCGGGAAACAAGGCAGTTTAATCCGCAATTCAAGGGGCCAGTACAGTGGTGAAGCTGGCAAAGCCGCCCCCTACAGTGCAGGCATCCCAAACGGGTGCCGGTTGGAGTCCAGGCTGTTCCACTTTAGATCCAGCTCTCCACTGTGGCCTGGGAAAGCAGAAGATGGCCAAGTCCTTGGGCCCCTGCACCTGTGTGGGAGACCCAGGAGCTCCTGGCTTCAGATTGGCCCAGCTCTGGCCGTTGTGGCCATTTGGGAAGTGAACCAGCAAATAAAAGATCTCTGTTTCTGTCTCTCTCTTTCAAATAAATAATAAATCTTTAAAAAAATGATAAAAATCTTTTTTTAAAAAAATCGTCAATTCAATACATTTCAGTCAAACTCCAGTCTTTTGGAATCTGCTACAGGGGCCCGAGCTTGTGTTACAGTAGGTTAAGCAGGCGTTGCCCTGCCAACCTCCCATACAGGCACCAGTTGGAGTCCCACTCCACCTCAGACCCAGCTCCCTGCTAATGTGCCAGGAAGAGCAGTTGGAAGACGGCCATCTTGGGCCCCTGCACCCACATGGGAAACCCAGATGGAGTTCCAGGTTCCTGGCCCATCCCTGGCGACTGTAGTCATCTGAGGGGTGAACCAGCCCATAGATCTCTAACTATGCCTTTCAAACAAATAAATCTTGCTTAAGACACAGATCAAAAAAAAAAAAAAAAAGCTGCTGCTACAGGTGGAATTTGAGGTCTATTCTTTCAAAGGTTCTCCCCACCTCCCAATACCATATATATGCAGATCAACACTGCAACTTCTATTCCGGTAGCATCTGGGAATTTGAATTTCAAGCGATTCCCTGGTAACTACATACCAAGGACACACACACACACACACACACAAACACAACCTCCCTCATTTCCTTTAGTTTGTGGGAGAAAACTGCTTAAACTGGAAAGACTTTGTAGTCTTACAAAGATTGCACTGGAATTAGTACTTTTTTCCCCCTCTAGGAGGGCGGCCATTTCTCCAAAAGTTTCGGTAAAAGTTAGGGCTGATTTCAAAACGCAAACAGATGTCCGTGCAGCATCCGAAATGGGCCACTCCATTTCTATTCCTGGGCCCTGGCGACTCTGAAATTATTTTGTGATCCACCCCTGCAAGGGCCAGAACCCCAGCCCTTTGGCATAAACCATCAAGAGAAGTGGGACAGCACACTTCAGGAGTTTCCAAAAGTGGCCGGCGACGTGGGAGGCCGGTCGTTCGGAGAATCGGGGCTGGGTGGGAGAATTTTGCGGGCATGAGAGATCCCCAAGCACCGGGCTCCTCAGGCGCTCCACGTGCCCCCTTGTACACGTTCCCGGGGGCAGCTTGTGGTTGCTACATTAGCTAGGGGGATGCTCCCGTCCCCAGCCCGGGAGGCGGGATGGCCATGGCATAGGACGATGGGAAAGGTGGGTGCACCGGCTCTCCGCCCTCGGGGATCCAGCGGACTGCCACGCCCGGGGGGGGGGGGGGAGCCGAGGCCAGAGCTGCGACCTCCGCCCTCCCCCGCGCCGCCAGTGTCTAGAATCCGGCGCCGCTCCCCAACTAGCAGTACGAAGTGGGGGTCCCGCTACGTTGGGCCTCTGCCGCCATACCCAGATCGGACGGGGTGGGGTGATAAGGGCCTTGGCAGAGCCCAAACTCAGTAGCCGCGCCCCTGTGGAAGGCCAGTAAAGGAGAGCCGTTTCACCGGCCCCTCTCCTGCGGGGGTCTCGGGAAACACGCGGTGATTACCCAGGAACCCCGCCCCCCGTGCGAGGCGAGGCTGCGGGGCTGCCAGGACGGCGAGGACCGAGCTCGGCTGCGGAAGGCTACAACCTTTACCCTCCCTGTCCCCGGGTCCCACTCCCCGGCGTTTCCCAGCGCCACCACTACAGGCAGCCCACTTGGCCCGGCCTCTCCCCGCGCCCGGACCACCCCCCATGGGGTGCTCTCACTGCGCAGCGAGTCCCTCCGCTGCCTCCTCCCAGCCCAAAATGGCGGCGACGGCCACCGGTCTTCTTGTCGCCTTCCTCAAGGGCCGAGGATCCCTCCGCGTTTAGCCCCGCCCCCCAGCCGGATCTATCAGCTGTCCGGTAAAGATTAGCGCCATCAATGAACTCTTTAATTGAGCTTGATAAAGGCGGATTGGTTGTGCTTCCGCACAGCTAATCGTTGACGAAAGTGAGAATATTGGCAGGCGACTTGGCCAATCGGAGAAGGCAGCAGTGAGCGCGGGCACCGCCCGCGCAAAGATAGATGGGTTTTGCAGTTCTCGGGTGTGGCTGTTTACGTGACAGGCTCTTGGGCCTCCTTCCCGGGCTGGAGGAACTACAATCCCCAGCAGGCACCGCGCCGCCAAGCTGTCCCCTCCCCCCAACTTAGTGCCTGAACGGCTTGGCCAGAGCTGCTGCAACTGCAGCAAGAGGTAGGGCTGAGGCGTTGGGAACTGCGCAGACAGGCGGTGGCAGAGACAGACAGATGTAGTCGTGTGCGTAGCCCATGTCAGGAACTAGGTTAGTGCCACTTTTGCAAAACCTCCTTCCATGCTTTAGTTCCCCTTCCCAAGAAATCCACTCGTAGCTCGGTTGGGCCTCCCGCCCAGCTGCAGGTAGTAGGAAAGCTCCCCGTTTCGTTTCCCGGCCCGAGAGGAAGGGGGAGGCAGGCCAGGCCCTGCTCTGCCCGGTGGAGCCCATCCTGAGGAGGAGGCTGAGGGGCGGGGCTGCCGTCAAGATGGGGGCCCCGAGCCCGCTACAGGTTGTCGTGCGGGAGCCACAGTCCCAGGCCCCTCGCAGCCTCCCCCTGGCGGACTCCTTTCCCCTCGGCGGCCAGCGGGCACAAGGCGCAGGCCTGGCTTCTTGGCCGCCAGCCTGGGCTCCAGTAACTTCCAAGGGGACATGGCGATGAGCCGGGGCCCGGGGGCTGAGGGCCAGCGCAGGGAAGATGGCCTCCTCTTCCCGTTTGGCTCCTGCTGGTTGGAGGTGTGAGAGCCGGGCTGTGGGAGGCTGCCTTCGGGGGCCCTCATTTTCATGGGAAGGCGTGCAGGTCTGGTGCCACAAAATGGCTGCCGCTGCCCGGGCAGCCCGGGTCCTGCTGAGAGTTCTCCTTCAGGACTGAGTCTCGTGTTGTTGTTCAGAGCAGGTGCCACTAGTCAAAGACATCTGCTGAGAGATTTGGGAAAATGAGCTCTCGGAGCCCGCCCCCGAGCGACTGTGACACAGAGTCACCGGCGGCCCTGCAGGGGGCCCAGGTAAGCGCCCACCCGGCCACCGCCCCTGCCGGAGCCTGCGGCCTCGCTGCTGGTCCCAGAGGCTGGCGGAGTCGAAAGCCGGGATTTCAAACGAGCCCCCGCGCCGCCCTGGCAGCGGGCCAGAAGCCAACCCCTGCCAGCTCATGGGATCCTAGTCACCCCAGAGTGGGAATTCCTTCCAAGTGGCGGGAGCTGAGTCCGTGGGCTGAGACGCCTTTTCCAGGGTCAGGCAGCCCGTGAGCCGCGGACCCAGGGTTTACCCTTGGGGTCTTCGCAGCAGGTGAAAGCTCAGGGGATTGGGCCCGTGCCGTCCACGTGGGAGACCTAGGTTGAGTTCCTGTGGCCTGGCTTCAGTCTGGCCTGGTCCTGGCCGTTGCTGGCGTTTGGGGAGCGAACCAGTGTATGGAAGCTCTCTGTCTTCCTGTCTTTCAAATAAGTTAAATATGTTATCAGTTAATTAAATTGAGGGCCTTCTGACAATAGGACCTTGCTTTAATCTAAAGACCAAAGAATTGGCCGGCACCTCGGCTCACTAGGCTAATCCTCCGCCTTGCGGCGCTGGCACACCGGGTTCTAGTCCCGGTCGGGGCGCTGATTCTGTCCCAGTTGCTCCTCTTCCAGGCCAGCTCTCTGCTGTGGCCAGGGAGTGCAGTGGAGGATGGCCCAGGTACTTGGGCCCTGCACCCCATGGGAGACCAGGATAAGTACCTGGCTCCTGCCATCGGATCAGCGCGGTGCTCTGGCTGTTGGAGGGTGAACCAAGGGCAAAGGAAGACCAAAGAATTGAGTATTTGTGTTTTGTCCACACTTAGAACCGAGTCTGAAGCAGGAGGAAGAGATTTTGGTTCATGGGGGTCAGAGGTGCTTTTGTTTTTGTTTCATGTGAAGAAACTTGAAGATGTGTTTATTTGAAAGGCAGAGTTAGAGAGATCGCCCATCCTCTAGTTCATTCTCCGCATGGCCGCAGCGACTGGGGCTGAGCCAGGCCAAAGCCAGGAGCCTGGAACTCCATCTGGGTCTCCCATGTGGATGGAGGGGCCCAAAGACCTGGGTCATCTTCCGCTGCTTTCCCAGGTGCGTTAGGTAGGGAGCTGGATCGGAAGCAGAACAGCCAGGCCTGAAACTGGTGCCCCTGTGGAATGCGGACATTGCAGGCGGTGGCGGCTTAACGCCCTGTGCCACCGCACCGCTCCCCCGGAGGCACTTCTGGTCCATCCTGGCCAGTGTGTCTTGGGTTTAGTTAATGGGGATCATGATCACGTATGTCTGGGCTAGAAGGTTCAGGGGGGACAGATGACTCACCCGGGTCTCGGAGCTGATCTGCAGGAGCAGTGAAGGTAGTGGAGACGAGCCCTGGGGCAGGAGGGAGGCCTGTGGGCCTGGAGGCAGGGCCGACTTGGTGGAGGAGGGATTATTAGGGAGCATTTGCTGAGGCCCGGGAGCAGGTGACTGTACAAACAAGTTGATCTCAGTGCCTCTCAAGTTGATCTAAGCCGCTGGCGGAGGTGAGGACTTTGCCTCATGATTGGGACACCGTGCACGTTCGTGAGCACAGGGACAGACCTCTGCTTCCCTAACGTTCTCTGCAGGGTCCCCACGAGGTACCTAACGTCCCCCTGGCTTTTCCAGGGCTGCCTTCGCCGCAGTCCCCTAACATACACCCTACCCACGTGTGGACCCACGCTCGGATGCCGCCAAGCTGTATTGTGTGTGCGAAAACAACAGACCAGTGGCGGTGGTGAGGATTAGAAGTCCCCAGAGCACAGAGCGAGAGCCATTCATTTCCCACGCCTTGCCCTCAGTGCTCGCAGCCTCGCCAACACCGAGGGGCCCGCACCTACACGCCCTCCTGCCTGGTCTCCCCACCTCCTAGATGAGGCCCCCAGCTCTCCCCCTGCACCCCGGAGGCTTGCTCTCTTCCCTTGGTGAGGACTCCTTTCCTGCCCTTGGAGAAGAGCCCTGCCAGCGCCTGCTGGAGGAAATAAGCTCCGTGTTCCTCACCCTAGAGGGATGGAGGGGAGGGGCTCGTTTCCAACAGCTTTTGGATTCCCCCCGTCTTAGGAGCTGTAGGTCACTTAAACGTTTACTGAGAACGTAGCCCAGTGCCGTGCATAGGGGGACAGCAGCGAGTTGAGCAGACCAGATGCATCCCCAGCCAGATGGTGAATGATAACGTGACCGGACTGCGCGTGGTGCCGTGATGGTCACTGGCAGGGAGGTGGGGCTGGCAGGGAGGGCTTTGCTGGAGAGATAGCCCTGGGGCCCAGCCCTCAAGGATGGAGGAGTCACTCCTGCGGACAGCTGGGAACGGGACCAGCTCTGTAATTTGTGGGGCCTCTTGTTCAGAAGTTCAAGGTGGAGACCAGAGCATTACAGCCAGCATGGGGCCTTCCTGAACGTGGGGCTCTGTGTGAGGGTATGGGTCACTTCCCCAGGGAGCCAGCTGTGTGTGGAAGACGGGCTGTCTGGGAAGAGGAAGAGCAGGTGCCATCTGGGCTTCTGATGGAGCAAATGAGTCAGGGGCCATCTCCCATCCCAGTTTTCTCTCTCTTTTTTTATTTATTTTTTTATTTGAAAGAGTTACTGGGAAAGATAGAAACAGGCAGATCGTCCATCTGCTGGTTCGCTCCTCAAATGGCCACAAGGGCAGGAATTGAGCCGATCCGAAGCCAGGAGCCAGGAGCTTCTTCCAGGTTTCCCACGTGGGTGCAGAGGCCCAAGGACTTGGGACATCTGCTGCTTTCCCAGGCCATAGCAGAGAGCTGGATCGGAAGTGGAGCAGCCGGGATTCGAACTGGCACCCATGTGGCATAGCTGCACTGCAGGCCAGGGCTTTAACCCGCTGTGGCACAGCGCCGGCTCCAGGTTTCTCCTTCTATCCATTTGTTCACATGGTATTATGGGATGCCTACTCAACCAGGTACAGTTCCAGGCATTGGAATGACAGAGTGAAACACACAGGTAAAGTTCCTGCTGTCCCCAGAGCATCCCCGGGGAGAGCTGGGGTACAGTAGATAGGTGAGCTGTAAACAGATGGTTGCAAAAGGGTGAGTGACTAGAGAATGACCACGTTAGCTGGGTGGGCGAGGGTGGACCTCAAGCTGGGTGGGCCGGGAAGGATTCGGCCCCCGACCGTCTGTGACCCCTGCCCCCTCCTCCCTTCTCTCTAGGCCTCTGGCTCTCCAGGGAGCCCCCAGATGCCTGAAGACTCTGGCAGTTGCCTGCCCATGACGCCCCGGATGGAGAGCCACTTGGATGAAGATCTTGCCGGGGCTGGCAGTGACCTGGGCTGGAAGAGTAGGGGTCCCCAGACCCAGAGCTCAGAGGGCTGCTCAGTGGAAGCCGTGCTGGGTCGGAAGAAGCACCGCCGGCGGCCCTCGAAGCGCAAGCGACACTGGCGGCCCTACCTGGAGCTGAGCTGGGCGGAGAAGCAACAGCGGGACGAGAAGCAGAGCCAGAGGGCCTCCAGGGTCCGCGAGGAAATGTTTGCCAAAGGCCAGCCCGTGGCGCCCTACAACACCACGCAGTTCTTGATGAACGACCGAGACCCGGAGGAGCCCAACCTGGATGTGCCCCACGGGGTCTCCCACCCGGGCTCCGGCGGGGAGAGTGAGGGAGGGGACAGTGACGGGCGGGGCCGAGCACACGGCGAGTTCCAGCAGAGGGACTTCTCTGAGGCCTACGAGCGCTACCACACCGAGAGCTTGCAGGGCCGCAGCAAGCAGGAGCTGGTGCGAGACTACCTAGACCTGGAGAGGCGGCTGTCGCAGGCCGAGGAAGAGACCAGACGGCTGCAGCAGCTGCAGGGGAGCACGGGCCAGTGGCGCTGCCGCCACGTGGAGGAGCTGGCCGCCGAGGTGGAGCGGCTGCGCACCGAGAACCAGCGGCTTCGGCAGGAGAACCAGATGTGGATCCGCAGGGGCAGCCCCCGTGACGACGAGCTGGGCACCGAGGAGTGCCCCCCCAGGCAGATGGACCCAAGGCCAGCTGGGTCTCAGGGAGGCAGGTGACAGAGGGCAGCAGCCCCGCACCCCTGAGAACAGCTGTAGGGGGGTCCGACTTCCACCCTGTCGTTTCCACAGTTGGTTCTTTGACGCCATGTTCGTTTTTACAGAGAAATAAATGGTCTTGTTGAGACCCAATGGGAGTGGCCGGAGTCGATTTCACTAGGACTCTTCTGAGAACCAGAACACGTTGTCCCAGAGTCCCAGGCCCCCTTTGCTGACCCCTGGCCGGGTCTCGGCTGCCAGCATTCTGCCCCATGAGGGTAGGGCTGCACCCAAGGGTTTACCAGTGCGAGGGAGCTCAGGGCCCCCGGGTTCAGCTGACCTGATGCTCCAGATGCCAGAGCGTCCCCAGGGGAGTGGGAGCTGGGATTTGAGAAGGCCCAAGTCTGGGGGTTTTCCAGTTTGCCCCCAGACTCCCTGTCTTCTCCGTGCAGGCTGGGCCACTAGAGGAGGTCTGGACAGCAGGTGCCCTGTTGTCCACAGCAGGCTCCGTGTGCTCGTCCCCCGGCCTTCGCAGCAGGGAGAAGGGCCTGAGGTCTGCCCCTTGCCTCCTGGAAGGATACTTGGAAGTCAGCACTGAAGGGGAGTGTTCTGGTGGAAGAGAAAGCCAGGAGGCAGGGGCCCGGGCACCTCAGCCCCCTAGCACGGCCGACCTGCATCCTGGTGCTTCCTCCTCCTCTTAGCAGGGTCACGGGTCTGGTGATTGCCTCGCTCTTCTGCCTAACAGGGGGATCAGCCCAGATAGCGGAGACGCTGCCTACGTCAGCCGGCCTGGGGCTCTGAAGAGACCTCACGCCCACCCTCCTGCAGACCACCTGGTCTCATCCTGGCTGGCCGGTGGCCAGGTGTCAGGCTAGCATGGTGGATGACTATGGTGGTGGTAGGGAGTGTGCAAACCAATGAGCCTGTGCTGGTGTTCGGAGAGGGGCGGAGGCCAGCCCGGCCCAGCCTGGCTTCCGTCCTAGGTGCTCATCCTGACGGCCACACGGGGCAGGGAAGAACGCGGGCCTGGGAGCTGCTGGAATGGAAATGTTGACAAAACCCTGTGTGTTGCTGGGACAACTTTTATTTCTGTCCTGCCACGCCCGGGCCTGGCCAGCACCACCTACAATGACGCGAGGCGAGGAGGGATTCTACGAAGGGGTGGGTTTCAAGAGTAAGCAGAGTCCCCTCTTGGGGGATATGCCCCCGCAATTCTGGCCGAGGTTGTCCTTTGCTGTGAACCTCAGACGGCTGTGCCAGGCAGGGCAGAGAGAACAAACGTCCCCACTTGGCGGGTGGGAGCCCCACGGCTGAGAGAGGAAGCAGCTCTCCAGAGTCCAGGCGGGCAGACCAGAAGCCGGGGCGAGGCCGGGACCCAAGGCCCACAGCCTCCCAGCGGCTGCATTCCTCGGCGTGGACCGGGGGAGAGGGAGGTCAGGACAAAGGTTGTTTACCCAGGGGCAAGGCAAGGCAATGCAGTGTGTGCGTGAGACTAAGGGGAGAGAAGGTTCCAGAGGGTTGCTGGAGTGTAGGGGCAGTGTGTGGGCCTGGTGTGGGAGAGGGCATTGAGGGTGTGTGAGGAGGTGGTGGGGGAGTGGCAGGTGAGGGGTTTGGCCCAGAGGCTGAGGAATCGAGAGAAACAGCTGCCAGCTCTCCCCACACCCCCTAAAACACACAATGGCTGAGGGGCCCTAGGCCAGGGCAACACCAAGGTGAGCTCATCTTCCCAAGGCTGGTGGGGGACGGGGCTGTAGGAGGGGTCAGGGTCCAGGGTGCCAGTCCCTGCCCCACTTGGTTCCCTGCACCCCAGGGTGAGGGGTGCAGAGATGGGAGAGGGTCCATGTCTTCCCTTTCCCTTGGCACTTGTTCCTCCCCAGCTGCCGGGGCCTGAGGCCGGGGCCACTCCCACGCCCCACTCAGGATGGAAACTTTGCCTTAAAACAGACCCCTGACCCCGGCCAGACCGGCTCACCTGGGCTCTGCCTAGCCAGCGCTCCTGCTCAGTGTGTCACCGGAGCCAGAGATGAGGCCCAGAGGGCGGTCATCGCAAGGCCTGAGAGATGTAAAACCAAAAAAAATCCGGTGCATAGTACCTTTTCTTTTTTTAATTTTAAGATTTATTTGTTTGAAAGAGTTAGAGGGAGAGAGAGAGAGAGAGAGAGAGAGAGAGATCTTCCATCTGCTGGTTCACTCCCCAAAATGGCTGCAACGGCCCCGGGCTGGGCCAGGCAGAAGCCAGGAGCTTCAGCCAGGTCTTCCACGTGGGTATAGGGGGCCAAGGACTCTGGCCAGCTTCCGCTGATGTCCCAGGCAGAGTAGCAGGGAGCCCAGCCGGCGCCCATATGGGATGCCAGCGTAGCAGGAAGCGGCTTAAGGCGTTGCACCACACCGCTGATTGAATGCTGAAGCTCCCACCACCCCTGGCTAGCCTGGACTGGGGTCCCCTGTCTTCCCCATCAGGGGCCCTTTGACCTTTGGTGAAAACTCCTGGGCCCAGGGCAGGCCCTTCCCACAGTGGGATAGGAAATGAGAGGGAGTGGGCTGGGTCAGGAGGAAGTTGCCAGGAAGCAGAGGAAGGGTCTGAGGCAAAGGGCTGAGGGAAAAGGTGGCCAGGTCCCATGGACCCTGTTGGGAGCAGACAAGGATGGCACTGGCCCTTTAAGTGGGGGTGCCAGTCAGTGCGCTCCCCCAGCCAACCCAATCCATGGGCACACTGAGCATGTGCAGGAGCTGGGGAGGGGTGGGAAGGGAAGTGGGGTGGGGATAGATTCAGGAGAGAGCTTCTCACCCCCTACTTCCTGGAGCTGCCCCGACTCCTTGCTGGGTCTGACAAAGGAGGCCATGGTGCTCCCCCACCCCAGACCCCAGACCCCAGGGAGTGCCACAAAGAGCACCGGGGGCCTGCCTGCTCTGCCCTGGGCAGTCTCCCGGCTGCTGGAGGTGGCACCCACACCTCTCTGGTGTGGGCGGTGGCCAGTCTTCCTGCTGCCAAACGTGTTCGATTTCATTCCATGGGTGCCAGGGACTTGCAAAGAGCCATCTACTTGTGATGTCACTCTTAAACCACGGCCCTGCCCCCTGTCACCCCACGCACTGCACCGGGAGCTTGCAGGTGGCCCAGAGGTTGCAAGAGACACCGTCCTGGCTCCCCTCCTTCCTCTCAAGCACCCAGGCTCCTCAGTCGGCCTCCTCCCTCACACCTGGAGGCGCCCCCAGCTTCCCTCCCTGGTCCTCAGCCTCTGCCGCCCTTCCCTATCCCTTAGCCCCGCTCATCTCTTCACTCCAGGCGCCATTGTTCTTTTCACGGGCAGTGAAATTCACAGAACATGTGAGCCATTCAGTGGCATTTAGTGTGTGCCTTGGCCGCCTCTGACTCCAAACAGTAAGCACCCATTAAGCAGGTCCTCCATTGCCTACTTGCTTCCCACACCTGCTGGAGAGAGTGCCAGGGGGAGAGACTGCAGGGTCTCCTGGTGCTGCGCCTGCAAAGCACAGCCCCTCCCTCTCGTGGGGGGTGGGGGGCTGAAGCAGGAGTCTGCCTGGGATCAAGCCCAGCTCCGCTCTCACTCAGGGGCCCCCTCTTCGTTTGTTCAAGGGAGAGGGGGCCTTCAGGCCAGCTCAGGATCCTACGCCCTCCAAGGCCTGTCCCTGGTCAGGGCAGGGGTGGGGCTGCTGCTGCCTGGGCTGCAAACTCCACCGGCCTGGCCTCTCGTGGCTCCTGCCTGCAGGCCAGGGCAGTGAAGGTGGCCCCTGGGGAGAATGTGATTAATTTGGGGATTGGAGGAAACTGCACTCAGAGAGGTTGAGAAACACGCCCAAGGCCACGCAGCTGTTGGCTGGAATTGCAACTGGTTCCATCTGATTGCGGCTGAGCCCTTATCCACGGTACTCTCACATCTTCAAAGAGATGAAGTGAAGGGCTCAGCAGGTGCCAGCTGTGGGGGAGGCCGCCCCATGGAAGCCGCCATTGCGTAATGCTGAGTCCCTGTGTTCCAAGGTGGCTCCTGGGGGTTCTTGCTGCCCCCTGCCTGATCTTCCGGGGAGGGCCTCTCCGGGGTGACAGCCTCTGTGCGGCTGGGAGGGGCTGCCTGAGCTCTGAGCCCTTTCAGGGAGGTGGGGACGGGAGGCCTTGGTCCCTCCCCCAAAAGAAGGAGAAGCTGTTCCCTCATTCTTCCAAGGCTGAGCATCCACCCCTGCCCCCCAAACAGAAAGTCCTTTGTGGCCTCAGAGCAGAGAGGGCACTGCACAGGCTCTGCCTGGCTGGGGGGACGGCTCAGCAGCTGCCCCCAGTTGGCCACTGTGTCCCAGCTGCCTGTGGGCACGGGCATTCCAACGACCACATGCCCCAGAGACCCTCTCCTGACCCCCTCCAAGACAGGAGGCCCCAGACCAGCCCTCGGGGCATCTGCTGTCCCCGCCCCGCGCCATCCCTCACCCTGGAAGGCTCCAAGAGGAAGTGCCCAAGGAGGACACCCTCCTGGACCTCAGGGCCACCCCACTATTCCACAGACAGGCCTCCTCATCTCATGCCCTGGCCCCCACTCCTTCCAGCTCCTTCTCAGCCTCCCTGGGGCTGGCCAGCTTTTCTGTGAGCAGCCCGGGTCCCGAGGCCCTGCTCTCCTTCCTGGCTCCACCCTGCTCCTCTGCTTCTGCGTCCCAGCAGCTATTTCCCGCTCGGGCCTCTGAGAAGGGGGCTCTCTTTCTCCCCAGGGCTGGAGCGTGACCCCACTGTCCTCCCTTGTCATTCGCGGTGGCTGTGCTGGGGGCCGCGACCCTCTCCCAGGCTCCCCCCTGAATGACCCTGGGCCCCCTGGCGTCCCTGGGCAGCTGCCCGTCCTCCCCTCTTCCCCGGGGCCCCAGAGGCCACAGAACTTCTTAAAAGTTATTTTCTTATTTTTCATGTTTCCAAATGATCTTTCAACTGAGGCCCAAATTCCGCGTATCTCATACACCACCTTCCATTTGTGGGTTTTCTTAGATTAGTAATTTTTCCAGAGTACATTTAAAAGCAGCTTTTCCAGATTCCCACAAAAGCCTATCTTTGAGAATATATATAAAGATATGACTGCGAGAGGAGAGAAGGACAGACAGATAAGAAACATAGATACAGATAGCTTGCAAGGAGGTATGCCAGACATCCCTGGATGTTACCT